TTAGCAGCTCTGTCTCTACCTGTCCCTGTCACACTGGGAGCAGAGTCTCTCCTCTTGTGGTAGCCAGCTCTGTCTGTAGCGACCCTTTTCTATGGCCAGGCTGTGTTCACTCAGTCTGTATGTTGTCAACTTTTTTCTTAGTTTAGGACATTTTATTGTAGTCAGGTAATTTGCCAGTGTGAATTCTCTTTTAGGGTCAGATAACATTGTAATTAATTAATTAATTAATATCATTGCCCTCTTTCTCAACAGTCAATAATAATATGGTGGTTCACTTTTACTCTGTGATCGATAGGCTTCAGCTTCTGTCTTTATTTTTTTCACGTCAGTTTGAATCAGTCTGAATTGAACCTTCAAATGCAAAAATCACTGCAAAACCGTCTGCTTCTTTCTGAGATCGCTTTTTCCAAAAATTAGACAATATTTCTCTGGGGAGTGAAGCAACAGACTGTGGCAGCGCCGTGATAAAAGTCCGACAACTCCGACAGCGTGTCGGACTTAGCAACAGTAACTAAGGGGGGCGAAGGGTCAATTGAACCCGGGCCTCTCCCGACCAAAGGCATGTGTCTTATCCACCATCGCATGATTCATTCAAAAAAGCCGAGCGTAAAGGAGTCTTCTTTTAATTTCTTAGTTGTAAGTTAACGGTTAGGTTATAATGGGTATGATACGCTGATGGTAGCTTTGCAAAGGTCAGATGGGATCATTCAGTCGACATAAATAAACTGGATTTACACGTCAGTTGACTTCGCTTGAACTGTTCTTGTATCCGGACCTCAGTTGATGTCCTGAAAACTAAAGTGGTAAAAGTAAAGTGGAACCAAGGAAGTTTTCCATTTATATCAAGTTAAACTTCTTTGAAGAAATTTTACAGACACCCGTTTTGTAAAAGTAACTCGGTAAAAGTAATACTTTTGTAAAAGTATTACTCTCGGGGATGTTATTCATTGAAGTGTGCTGTCAAAACTCGTTCTCAGACAATGCTGTAACTCATTAAAAGGAAATGACAGTTGTGGTGCTTTGTGTGAATCAGGCGTGCCTCAAGTTGCTCAGTTCACCAGGATGATTCAGGCCGTGTCCTATAATTTACTCACTGTAAATTGTAAATCTAAATAGCTGCTGAATGAGAGAATCATCTTAAATACTTTATCTAGGTCAGGCCTGAGCAGGAATAATTTGTCTGTTGAGGTGGTCACAGACTTCTGTTGAGACAGCGTGAGCCGGCAGATGTGCATGTGGTTCCTGAGGTGGCGGTGTTAAACGCGCCACCGCCTGCGGGCAGCCACAAAAAGCCCTTACAGAAAGTCTCTGATGTGCAATTACCTTCTAAAGTTTGTCTGGGAGGACGGCCAGTGCATCGTAACGTCTGCTGCTCTGCTGTGAACACGGAGACTGTTGCAATGGCGACAGACGGCCCGACCCCGACAGAGCACCGGGACTGACATCATTTACCAGCAAGTGAAATTACCCCATTCGAGGGTTAATGTGACCGGCGCGTGGACAGAACAACTCACACTCGTCTGCAGGAGGTGCTTGAATTATTTCATTGAATTCATGGACAAAACCAGGTCCGTGAATTTTAATCCAATATTTTAATCTGATAACTTTTCATTTAAAAAGCTCATACTTTTACAATTTCTAATAAAACAGAACAAATTTCCAATCTGAAATCCCATTAGTGATTAAATGCGGCACTAAGAGAGACAGACACACATCATCAGAGGCTTGACTATCTGTACAAACCACCAGGACTACAAATGCTACTTATAATAAAAACTACAGTGCTTAGCGAAGTTTCCTACTCTGGCTATGACAATAATTTATTTTACTTAAATTCCAGTGGGAGCGGACAATGCAGATTAGATCCTCTGCGACAGTGTAAGTACAGTATATATGCATTTTTATTTCACAATATCAATCTGTGTATCATGATGTCGTAAATAATATAGTATAGTAAACGGAAACGTCATATCGTTAACGCCATATTACCCAACCCCAAAGTCCCAGTTTGACAAAACAATCTTAACTCGAGGTCAAAGTAGGGTTGGGTATCGAGAACAGGTTCCAAGTTGAAAGCTTTTCAAATTTCCAAGAACTGTGGATTTATTAAGACCCCGCGTTTGGATTCTGCTTCTCGGTTCCTAACTTTGTGCATATCTCAGCTCCTGATTGAACTGCAGTGAGCATTTTACAGTCTTATCTGCCGGGACCTGCTACGCCGACCCAACCTCGTCATTTGTTACATCAACAAAGCGTGAAGAAGAGAGAGAGACTCCTTTCACTGAAGCCATGAAGGGGAGGATGAGCAAAGAGGAGGATGAAGGTCACAGAACGCTGATTAGATCTGTGGTGAAGGAATCAGAACCGAGAGTCCATAAGAACTGCATTCGAGAATCAGAACTGATTAAATTAAAACGATAACCAAAGCCAGGTCTAAGTCCATCCCATATCAGGACTGCGAGGTGCGGCTGAAAACTCCAGAAAAGATATTTTGAAGAAGAATGGACTTTCACATTCAATTACAAAAGGACACTTTAATTTGAGAGCAGTGGGAGAACTGCAGGGAAGAGGTTTTACTCTCGAGATACCATCTTCTGTTAATTCCCAACAGTTAATTCATTAATGTTGTCGTTTAGCGAAGAAGATTCTAGTTTAATTAAAATACTGTCCTAGATTTTATGCAGTGGTTTTGCTCTGCAGACGCTGTCCAGGGTTCAAATCTCACTCAAGTCAACATGCTTGATTAGGGAACACAATTTATTGTCTACAGAAATTTTTATCTATTGCTTTGTGTCACAACCCTGGATTTTGAGAAATCCTGTAATGCTGTAGGGCACCAGGGGTAAACACACCCACCCAGCGGTGTTAGATCATGCTTCCCATGAAAGTACCTGTACTGTACAGCCAAAGCCCTGCTGTCAGCAAAGATATCTGCTAACGTGACAGCAGCAGATACAGGTGCAAGTTTTTGCAGGCACGAATACGTCTTAATAGTTTTGCCAGTAAGAATTGAGAGAGTTTTTCATTTACGTACATCTGCACTGAGTTTAGAAAATTGACAGGCCTGAGCACGTACAGGTAGAAACTGGAGAGGCTTAGTTCAAAAGACAGAGAAGCTAGAGGCCCACGGACTGTTGATCTGTGGAAATCATCTTAGAAAACAGTTAGGTTCCTCCGTTGTCTTTGTAAATTTAACAAAGCATTATGAACGTTTCAGGTCTGCATGGACTTTGTTCTGTGTGCAGACTGAAATGCACTCAGGAAACTAAATTAAACTGTGCGGTTGTTTCAGGGAACAGCTGATGCTCTGTACAGAAACACAGCTGAGGTACAGAGGTTCACTTCATGATAACAACCCCTGCTGCCTGTAAACAAGAAGCAGACACATGGCAAAAGTTGGATTTTCTCCACATTTCTAAAAACGAAGGGAAACCATTGTTTGGAGGCTTAAGATCAGATTCCAAATCCTGCTTAAACCCAATGGGTGGACCGTTTCCTGTTTCACACCCTGCCTGATAATCGCACCATACAAATTACACAACAGAGACTGACAGGACATTTTAAAAGTCCCACCCTTCACTCAAAATGTGTTTTGCTTCGTGTGTCTTTGAATTTGCACATTCAAGTAAATCAAATGTGTTTTTGGAAAAATCAATCAGACAATGTTCACAGCAGGGTATAAAACATGTCTGGAGTGGGTCCGTAAGGTCAACTTAGACGCTACATGAACAACTATGATTTGGTTAACTGCATCAAGTTGGATTCAAAGCCGATCATAACAAAACTGCAAAAAAAAAAAATCGCAATCAAGTGTGCAAAACACCAAAATCAACTCTGGGCAGAAAAGCACCCGACGTCATTCCCGTTTTTTTTTGTATTCGCAAGTTTTTTCACCTGCAGCTTCTTCTCCAGGGGGAATACCTTTTCAGTCCGAACAAGAGCCCGACTTATATGGGATTTTTAAGACCGATATCGATTTCGATATTTGAGGATTTTAAAATCCGATACGTCAGCCGATTTTCTTTTTTTACCGTCTTTTCAGAAACACACAACATAATAAAAGATTATCCCAAATGTGTGCTGTTATGAGACCTCACCAAGATAACATAACAAAGTGCTGAACAAAAGTACAACAAAATATAAAGTTTTAATAAATAAGAGTCAAAACTAAAGCCCTACTTGAGACACACAGTGCAGCTGTATGACACCGCACTCTCTGACGGGCGGACATTGCTGACCACATACACTAATGTGACAGCGAACGCTCACTGCATCCGGTTCACGCAAACCAAGCGAACTGCGTGTTATTTTGAATTTGTTTTAAACTCGGCAACCCTAGTCCAGAGACGATTTAGGAAAGAAATCCTGAATAGAATCCAATGGGGAAAGTCTGTAACGCCAAAGATGGCGGTTGGATGCACATGTCCCGCCCCTAGCAAGCTAATTATCTGTTTTTTAACAGCTTGTGCGTACGTAGTAAAAGCATAACCTGCGTGGAAAAACGTTTTTTAAACATTATTTTGGGGCAAAGTCATGAAACCTTTCACTGGTGATTCTATACATGCACGTTTTATGTCCTGGTGAACAGTGCAATGGAGCTCTCTCCCCATTCATTTAGACAGAGGCCTCACCTCGTTAGTCAAAAATAACAGCCTCTGAGCCGTTTCCAAAATGGCTGCTGAGCGGCGGGAACTTGCCTATATAAGGACTTAACCTAGCCTGTCGCCACAGAAAATGCACAGTTCTATGTTCATTATTAAAGTCATTTCCACACGTTTTGGTAGCCGTGAAAATGACTTGTGCTGTAAATGTGTATAGCTGTCGTTTGTGTTGTGCTTCTACAGTTACACAGGTGACTGTGTTGCCGACGCCAGAACCAGACGCCAGTGACTGCTGGTCGGATTCAGTTTCCTAAATGACGGATATCATGTTCAAACGGACAGAATGATGACAAATCTTGCACTGGAGGTGGCAGGCCTGATGTGTGTGTGTGGGCTTACCAGGACCGAGTGCATTCCCATGTAGATCCGGCTGAGACAGACCAGGAGACACCAGCAGAGGGCCAAGCTGACGCCCAGCGTGAACGGGTACTGCGGAGGAGAAAGGAGACTACAATCAACACAACCTCACACACCTGCAAGGTCTGGAGAACCCAAAGACATCAAAATAAATTACAATTACATGGAATTCATAGTTTTCAGTCACGTGACATGCGCAGTGACCTGAAGGGCAAAACAACAGACCAAGATAGCAGCTCACACCGGACTCCCTCGTAGAGACGCCACAAACGCCGTTAAATTTTATTTGGATCACCTCTCAACTCAAGAAAAGATAGATATAGACACAAACTGCAAGTATCTGGCACTTGTGATCCATATACAGCACCAGCTGCCCTATCTCCGCCGTTACAAACCGCTAAGAAAACTCCACAGTACACTTGCGAACATCTTTTAAAATCGTATTCATTTAAAGTCTACAGTGCTTTGTGTGCCTCACACTGCGCTCTACGCTTCACATTGTAGCGACACATAACTAGATTTGTTAACGAGGCTCTGCGTCAGAAGCTCATATTTAAAACTCCTGCATGTCTATCGTTCTGATCTGGTGATTATAACTGTAATAAAAGGATGGTGTGTGCTGGAGTTAGCATGTACACTCAGTAACAAGCCTTCATAAAGTGCTGCAGAGATGTTGTTGATATGATAATCTGCTAATGTGTTCTCGACTCAAAGGGCCTAGTAAATATATGCTGCTTGTTGCTGTTTCCTTATCAGATGTACTTGGCCTGTAGCAGAGAGAAGGCGGGCGGGTTCACACTGCAGCTTAAAGTCAGATTCTTTTTCCCCGCATGTGACTCGGATTATTTGTTTTCTAATCAGCAGAAAACTGCAAACAGCTGCGCTGAGTCACGGTTCTACAGATATGATATAGGTCACATGATGAAAAATCTGATGCAGAGCCATGAGACCTACATGTGATGTGTAACTCAGTTTATGCCACTCGGCTGTGTGTCTGAGCAGCGTCAGCATGGTGAACAAAGAAAAGGGAACCAAAACTCGCACCCTGAAAAATCAATGTGTTTCAAACATGACAACCTGACGTCTCAAAGCCTCTGGTCCACACGGTCCATACTCGCTAACGATCATCGTGGATCAATTTTCGCATCATTTTGTCTGTAACATGTCAGAGAGAAAGACGAGGGTGACATTTTTAAAAACCCATGTTTTGTCTGATCAACAACCCAAAATACAAACCTGTTCCCGTTTCCTTTCATAGGAGAGAAAGAAAAACGTCACATTTGAAATTAAATTTATTCAAACCGATCAAAGTAGTTGATAATGTTTTGTTGATGGATCAATTCGCTGCAGCTCAAACTTTCTGCAGGTTGGGAACTTTATGATAACTGTGTGTCCCCGGCTCAACAGTACGTTCAAGCTGATATCATGAGCATCTCAATTAGGGCTGCAGTTGATTAATTGATTAGTTGTCAACTATTAAAATTAATCTCCAACTATTAATCGATAAATCGCTTTGCATCCTTTTCTTTTTAACAAAAAAAAACTTACTAATTCTCTGATCCCAGATTCTCGAATCTGAATATTTCCTGGTTTCTTTGCTCCTCTGTGACATTAAACTGAATATATTTGGGTTTTGGACTAAACACGACATTTGAGGACGTCATTTGGGCTTTTGGGAAACACTGATCGATATTTCTCACTATTTTATAGACCAAACAACAAATCCATTAATCAACAAAATAATTGACAGATTAATCAACAATGAAAATAATAGTTTGAGCCCTGCTTTATTTTATCACAGTCACAAGTTTACAAAGCCTAAAGGTGACATCTTCAGATTGCTTGTTTTGTTCGACCAACACCCAAAAGCCTGAAGATTTTCAATTAGTCTTTTTTCAATCGATTAATTAGCTCCAGTCCTGCATCAGGGCCATATCTTGTCTCCTAATTGCAATGGTTGCTTACATTAATTAATTAACTGATACCGATTAGTTGTCGACTATTAAATTCATCGCCAACTATTTTGATAATCAATTAAGAAAAAAAGAAAACTTCTCTGATTCCCGCTTCTCAAATGCAAATTTCTTTTGTTTTCTTTTCTCCTCTGTGACAGTAAACTGAATACATTTGGGCTTTTGGACAAAACAAGACACTTGCGGACGTCACCTCGGGGCTTTGGGATACACTGGTCGACATTTGCTAACAACTAATCGATTAATCAAGAAAAAAATCGACAGATTAATCGATAAAGAAAATAATCGTTAGCTGCAGCCCTAATCACAAACACCAAACGAGTAACCGCACATCACAGAAGGAACTTTTTATGCTCTGGTCACTTTGTGTAAATAACTAAATGTACCCTTTCATAAATGTACCCTGTGCCATTCTCTCCATGTGTACAATCTATATTTTGTAGGATTGGTAATTCTGATTTGTGTATATATATAATTTTTTTTTTTTGGTTGTTTGTTTAATGCCTCTGCTCTGGATAATCCATTGTTATTCGGTGCATATGACAAATAAAATGACTGACATAGTTTGCACAAGGCACACTGTTTCACAAAGAGCTCTGCTTAAAGCATGACATCCCACAAAACAGCTGTGTGGAATGTAAACAGCTATTTCAGACCATGAACAATATTCTGTTTTTAACCTTACACTGTCATTTTCCCCAGTCAGGATTATCTAAACTCTTGCTTGTAAAAAAGTGTTTGCTCAAGTTGAACGTGGCGTGTGTGCACTGATCAGCGTGGCGCCACCTCCGCCTCATTTTGAGCATAGGTGCTAAGAAGGGAGAGTTACACGACGAGTCCCACGCACCTTCACTGCGACTCCCACACCTCCGGCCTTCAGGGAGCAAAGAGTTGTTTTATGGCGCTCGATGCTCATTAACCAGAGATAATGCGCTGTTTTACGGTGGAGCCCCATTTCACAGTCATTTCCAGGGAATCTGCCTGTGACGCGACTAAAACAGCTGCAAATATCGCCAAGATTTAAGACTTCATCTGTGAGGGAGCTGGCTCACCTCACTACCTTACACAAACACATTTTATAGAGGTTTAACAATAAGCATGTTCTCTCATACTGAGCTGTATACAAATATTCAAAACCATATAGTAAAAATGCATTAATTAAAGGCTAATACTGTCTTTATTGTACAATATCGTCCGGCCTGGGGCATCATCAAGGCACCAACAGTGATTCATAAACAAAATTTAGCTTCTCTTTTTCAAAGCGCACAACCTCTCTATTTGCATTTTATGAACTCCTGCTGTCCTAGTAGTCAGCCTGTAACGTGACACGTTTTCTAGTCCAGTTTATCCATCCACTTAGTGTTTTACTGAACAAATGTATTTCTGAAATAACTTTTGTGCCGACTGAAAGAAATAATTTCTCATATTTGTCACAATGATTTAGCCATTTTGATCCAGAGCGTGCAGACACAGCGTCTTACTCGAGGACAAAACACAACACTGCAGCCACAAAGATGTGTCTGGTTACAACAGACAGATAAACTCCTGTGAGACTCCCCTACAGGTGTCTCTGAGCACCCGGCTGCACTTTAAAGTGTCACAGAGGGAGATTTTGGTTTAGAAACCGGCATCTTTAAGTGTGGACATGCTCAGACCGATGCTGTGTGATGCTGTGGAAACCACCAGTGGAGATGTTGTCCAACTGGCGTCCTCTGTCACCGGGTCCCACGGCCATATTTGCATACTCGCCGTGGCCTTGTGCCTGTAACCACGGCGGTAGCCTCATGCAAAGTTTTATGGACTCTGTGCTTTTATTTGTGTGGCTTGTGGTTCTCTGCACACTGCTTATTGACTGTTAGCCTCAGTGCAGAGTTTGCTCTGGGCTCCCTCACGTAACATACATACATGCATACAGCCTGACCACACTGCTGCCAGGGTGTGCTGTTTGACTTTCAACACTGCCAAGATCCACACAAATCAAAGT